AGGCGGGTCTGTGAAGCAGTTTAGCCAATTGCTGATTGAAGATATGAATGTATGACATACAATTTAGCCAATCAGCGTCATTTGACAGTTTAATGCTACTATATTATCATTCATTTAAACTTCTCTTCAGATAATATGACCTACATCAATATAATAGGGCAACCCTAGTCACGTTTTTCCCCAAGTGTGCATTAGACTGTGTTCACTTTGAATCTTAAATCTTACATCATTACGATAAAATAAGATAATCCTTTATTAGTCCTACACGGAAATGTGCAAAGGTGTAGCAATCAAGCCTTTGTTACAAAATAAAGTGCAAGTGACCGACAATGTGCAGGATATGTTTTTTTTTTTAGGTGTGTAAATATTTAAAAGCATCTGTGTGAATTCTGCAAGGAAAAATGAAGGTTATAGACTATGGACATGTTGGTAAAAGAAAAAAAAATGTCACTCTCTCTTGTTTGGTGGTAGAGGTGAATAGGGGAAGTTGTCTAGGACAGTGGAGCTACAGCTCATTAAAGAACAAGGACTAAGGCAGAGTCACTGATATGGGGAGAGTGGTAAAGAATGTAGACTCTCTAGGCTACATCATGTTGTTACATGTTACTTGTATAAAGCATTACAGGAAGTGTAATTTAAAGTTTTGTCTTCAAACCTACCCTTTGTAATATATTACATATTGCCCTTGCCTGGGTTTCACACCACCACATGTCCAGACTGCTGCTGGCTGAAACAGAGCAGATGATAACAAAGTATTGTAGTATAACACAGAATAGAAAACTGAAGGAAACAAGTAGCAATAGGATCAGATTTCAAAGAACATAAACAAACCACAGTTAGAACAGGTACGTACAAGAGCAGGGCAGAGTTAAACAGTACTGGAGCCTTAAAGTACCATACTTATTTCTGAGTTACCTTTCCTCCAAAATGAAGTATATAGCCATTAGGTTGCTTGTTGTCACCATTGTTAAATTTGAACTGTGCCGGTGGACAGACTTGCAGTATCGGCGAGTCTACACAATATAAGACTGAGCTGTGTTCATGTACCTCCAGTGGATAAACATGTAAACACAGAGCTCTGTTAGTGCTCACTGAGCATGCAGGAGATATCATGAAGGGATCATACTCTTGTGGCCTGTGAAAATGTGTGCTTATTAAACACTGAATTGTTTATGCCATTACTATTAGTTCAGATAAGTAACAGATCATTTGTAGCTATTGTCTCTCTGAGTTTTCATGAAACTGAAAGAACACTTTTTTTTTAAACTGAGACATAATAATGTCAAATGACACTCAATTGCAAAACGAATATGCATTTTTACACCAGCAAAGATGCTGTAATCATAAGCCACCACATTACAAGGATTCCCATCCAATGTAAAGGCCAACCTTTGAGCTTGATGGTTCTTGTCCTTGTTAATGTTTTAGCAAAGTGGAGGCCAGAGACTATTTACATCATACCACATCACAATAAATGGAGCACTTGACTGCACTGTATTCATTGCACAACAAATGATCCTCACTTGGACTGGAGCCCCAGAGGGTCTGTTTAAACCATCGTACTGTTTTAGATCTGACACAATACATGTAGCAGTATAGAGCTGTGAGATATCGACAACATAAATGTACCATAAATGTTTGAGAACCTGGAAAGAAGACTTTGAAGCTAGTAACACAGAGGGAAATGATCCCCATACATGTTGAAATGTAGCTCAGTATATCATCGTCAACTCAATTTTGAAAGAGATGAAGAAGAACGAGGCAACCGCAACATAAACTGATTAATTATGTTACACAAGGTTGCTGCAGGCCTATTATTTAGTTTGCATATTGCCAATTTATCATCAACTGTCTTGCATACTGACTAATAAACATTGTCTTTGTCATCTTAATAGGGTATTGGACAGAGGACTGAGTGGCAAAATGTATTTACCACAGCTGATTTTGCCACTGAAAGCCTTGACTAGTTTCAATACCTATAGTCCAATGCATAGTTATAACAATAAACAGAAATACAACGTTAAAGAATACTGCTCTATACATAGTTATAAATACATTGCAATGCAGTTAGAAGAAATGTCATTGCACAAAAAAAGAGTGAAAGGGGCTACAAAAAGCAACAACATAAAATACTATAATCTACTGTATATGTGTTATGCAGATACGGTAAAACGCAGAACCACCAACTCTAGCCTTCCATTGTTTGTGAGGAAAACTCACAAAACAACTTGACTTGATATAAAACTATATTTATCAAAATAAATGAAAGATCTCTTGCACAAATCAAGTCAAAAAGGTAGCGTATAACTTGAGAGTGAAATGCAATTTAGTATTTTCAAACTCATTGATTGTAGTCCTGTTTACCATTTTGGGGGATATCAGATGTATTGATGAGGAGCACTGCTCAGGGGAAGAAGCTGTTTTGGCTCCAATTACCCCGAGTTGCTTCCTGGAAGGGAGAGATTGGACACTGTGCGTGGAAGAAGTTGGTAATGATGTTGAATGCAAACTTCTTGGGCCTGCAGTGGCAGATATTTTGGAGAATGAGGACGTTGTTGGCAATGATCTCTGGTTACTCAATTATTTGTGTGATCTGATCTCATCCAGTGAGAGAAATGTTTTCCGTAATGGAGGACTGGATGTTGGCTGTGGGCCACACCACTATCATTAGCCAGCTGTATGTCCTCAACTGTTGCATGAATCATCAACCCATATGATGAGCCTTCTTGGTGATTAAGTAGTAGTCCTAAAGAAATATTGTACTTTCTAGGAACTTTAGATTATATCTTGTCTCAGAGTTGTTAAATTTACACGTCACTAAAATGAAATTTGTTCCCCCACACAATGTAGTTCTCAAGCAGAGATTAGTTGTTACTATATATGAACGCCTTATAAATGCTAGGTGTAACCGAACCAACTGGCAAAGCTAACATTAGCTTGCTAATATATGACCCAGACAGGTTAGTGTAATTGAATATTTCTCACTCGATCTAAAACTTAACGATTACTAATGTACAACATATATTTTTCCATGTATTAATACATAAATAAAGCTAAGTAATAATTACATTTTTACACTTAAGTTTAATATGTTGTTTGCGCACCAAAACTGTAATTTATTTAAGTTATCCCACAGCTTGTGTTGCTACAATGACTTCCTGTTTACAGGGATGAGTGCTTTTGATTGGACGGTGCTATTAGGTGTTTTCCGAGATGATTTATATATTACTAAAATCCTAACTACTTAAGACATTTCTAAAGTTGTAATTGTGCAACGTGATAGAATTTGCAACGTTTGAATGTTTGAAACTAGCTTAGTTACTAAGAATTGAATTGGATTTTGCAAATAGCTGGAGCAATCCTAGAGACAGCGGGGTCTGAAATGAAGATGTTAGGTCTTCAAACATGATAAGTTACTCCAGAGTCAAGTTGACTGAGCCAGTCTTCCACAAACATGCTGGCCCTGTAGGCAAATGTCAGGGCATCCACTGAAGGGTGTGTGATGTTTTTTGAGATAGCTGTCTTTAAGACCCTCCTAGGATCAAAGCCGCTGTATCCTGTTTTTGAGGACTGTAGGATTGGAAGATAGGAAGAGTTTAGAGGTCTAGTAAATTAATTCCCATTATCATCAGCATCATGCAATGAGAGCACTTGGGTTGATAAAAACCTGCTTAATGGCTCACTGGTCAATCCATTGAACCCCTAAATATAAAAGAATGAAATAGTCTGTAGAGTTGCACAAAAGTCCTCTCTGTCTATCTCTCTCTGCCTTCCTAAATGAATCTGGTTCATCCATCCAATTCTCTCTGCTCCTACTTTGTCCACAGGCATTACGGTCATTGTGTCAGCCTTCCATGGACCGTGAATATGATGACATGGTACATACTCTGTTCTGAGGCCCTGTTCTCTTTCACACATTTCTTTTGTCCACCTTTCCTCTCTGCACCATGTGTTCCTGTAGATTATAGTTGGCATTTGCCTCCTGAATACCCCAGCTGGGTACTGTAAGCATGAGTGCACGTCCCAAGCCGAGGCCAACCTTAGGTTAACTGAATGCAGACTTCAGCTTAGCCACCAAGGAACTCTAAGCTAGCTTGGCTTGACACGTTAGCTCTCCATATTTTTGCAAATCTAAATCTCCAAGCCCAGGTTTTGTCCTGCTTGGCAAAGTCAGACAAAGAGTTTGGGAGGCTCTTTCTCATCTTTTTCTTGCTGAACATAGAGGGAAGGATGCTTTAATAGCCCGCGGCCTCTTCAGGTGTCTCTCCACACTCAGGTTTTTTGATTGCCAGCCGAGGGACTCGGGCAGTTTTACCATAGTTATCTCACTACACCACATGCCTAACAGCACTCAAAGCCTCCTGAGCTGTCTGTCATGCCTCTTAATTTGCACCATAAGCAGCTGAGCTGAAAAAAGTATGAAATACCTGAACAGGGCTTTGACTGGGTCAATTTAGGACACAGAGTAAGTTGGTCACATTGGTGAGTGTCGCCACTGGGTCTTTCCAATGCCATGTACTAAAAATCTTTCATGCCCTGTTCAAACATCAATCTCAAAGTATATTCAACATGTTTGACCATTTGAACATTCATATTGGTCACGGGTAAAACGCCGTTTCACAGTCGTGTGTGTGAACTAGCTATGTACACATAGCTGTAAGCCATAAGATTCTGATGGTTATCACGTTACGAAAAAGCTTTACAAGTTACCATCTTATGTGTCTAAATTATTGGTAAGCCCACAGTTGTTACTCTGGAGTAACCCAACTGGAACCAACTAGTTACAATAGTACTTTCTGTTCACCCCCTTACCCAGTGCATGGTATAGATTGATAAGCCTGTATATAATCTATACTGTTCAGTGGAGAATTGTTAGGAAGTCAGATTGAGCATTTACCACCCATTTTGACCCAGTGAGTAAGTATTTTAAAAGAAAGGTCAGCTTTACTGTGATGTCTTATTTTTTATTTAATGATCCCTCTCTCTCCGTCTCCTTTCAGACTCTCATGGGATGGATCTGTTTGCGGTTGCGGTCCACGAGTTTGGTCACGCCATCGGCCTGGTCCACACCTCAGCCATAGAGTCCATCATGAGGCCGTACTACCAGGGTCCTGTAGGCGACCCGCTGAAATACGACCTACCCTACGAAGACAAGGTCCGCGTCTGGCAGCTCTACGGTACGAGGGAACATGTGTTCACCTCAGAATATGTGTGTTGTGTGTGAAAGAGATAAAACGGGTGATATTAAATTTGTTGCATTTCTATTGCCAATTCTAAATTTAGCTGAAAAACTTTTTCAATCTTTGTTTACATAATTCTGTCATTATGAACGGGATATCTATGCTACACCACATACTGGCCTAAATGAGCTGTTCATTTGAGTCTTGAAAGATGTTTCTGCCTCTTCTAGATTTCTCACCAGTGCTGTGAAGTCTCAGAGTGTGTGAAACAAGAACATTGTGGAAGACATACACCATTGTTTTCACAGAATCTTCCTCTTCTTCACTGACCATATCTCAAGGGCCTCTGCTGTAATTATGTATGTTTCCCGGAGTAGTGCTGCAAACAGCCGTTTGCTGGTGACAGCTCAGCAGACTGAAGATACAGAGGCATTCTCTTGCAGGAAGCAGCAATTGATGAGTTCTGGAGAGGAAGGTTATTGATTTAATAAAAGCACGGAGGGTGTAATTGTACCTCGTTATGGCATGAGACCTTATCACACCATTCACTCTAGGATAGAGAGGAAACGGCCGTGTGAGGAAAGAGAATGTTGAACAGCGAACAAATAAATAAAGCAAACAAAAAAAGAGGGGAGAATTACACACATTGGGCGCAACGTTATAATATGGTACAACATAGGAAAATAGTAGCATTGCAAAAGAACAGGAGTAGAGCAAATAACCAAGAATCACAAGAATGTTGCTTTATATCCATTTGAGTTGACATTTGGCACCTTCCTAGGTGTCAGAGACTCGGTGTCCCACACAAACCGACCAGCCAACCCCTCCCAGACGGCTGAACCTCCCGTCCTGCTGGACCTTCCTGAGAACAGATCCACCTTCCTGTAAGTAGAAGATATAAAGTTACTTGGAATCTTCCACATGCAACACAATCTAGTGTTCTAGTGCGATACTGGATTAAAAGATCCACTCGGGCCTCTTCAATAATTCGTCAGCATCTACTGTGTCTCATAGGATCTTACTGTTGTGTCTAGACCGAATGCAGTGATCTTGCGTCACAATAGTCGCGGTGTTGTTTTATGAAAAGCTTTCCAGCCTTCACTCATTCTGTTGATCCGATTCAACATGCCACGGCCTGTGCTGCAGTGGCCAGATGAGTGCAGCAGAGAGGATAGAAAACGAGATGGCACAGTCAACTCCGGACACATCTGATTAGAACTAGAAGTGCTGCTGGTTGATATATATTATGGCTTCAGTTGGCAAAGTTGGAAATGCTCACAAACCTCTTCATATAACTGTTGTTTTGTTTTCCTGTTTTAATTTGATATAGATTCCTTAACTAGGCATGTTTACACAGCCATAAAAAGTGTCTCTATTAAAGTTAGGGCAATAATAGAGGTTTGGCTACTTCCATATGAACATTATACTCCTAATAGGCCTCACACAGGTGGTATTTATTGCAGTGTAACTGTATTGGATCTCATTATAGAGAGATTTCAATTTTTGTCACGGTTCCCTGTACATCAGCGTAATTATAATGTGATCGTTTTCTAATTTTCTAATTTTTTCTTCACTTCCACTGAGAAATATTGTAATGAATCCATGCAGGAATACTCAACGTTTATTGTAAAATAGAGGTTGTTGGTGCTTTATAGGAAGTCATGAGGTGCCAACAAAGAAAATTAGCAAAGAGGCCAAGAGTGAGTTTGGGAGCCTGCCCGTCTAATTAAGTAATTCCCTAAAGCAAGTTGGGCGCTATCAGCCTGTAGTTTTTCCGATTAGCAAGGATAATTTGGCTTAATTATGTCCATTTATGTATTTTGAGTGTACATACACTCACTCACACCCCCCAAACCACCAAGCACTAACCCTTCAAGTAGCCCCTGAGAGGTTCAACGAAAGACAAAACACAAAAATGTCTGCATTCGCAAGGTTGGTGCAATTCAAATTATTTTCAAAGAACATGTGCATGCATACACACACTACAGTAAATGGCAAGGCAGCACTAAGAAGAAGGGATAAGCTAAAAAGGCAGTGGTGCAATATTTAACCTTAATCTTTTTCTCCCTGCCTAGTCCTTGATTAATCATTTTTCACTGACTCCATCAGGTCATGAGACGTGAAAAAGCTGGATTAGGCCTGACAAGGGCTCCAATGCTGACCACTAGGCAGTGGTGTCGTGTTAATAGAGCTTTGAATAGAGACCTTTGTTGGCAATATAAGGCCTGGCGGGCTCCCACTCCCAGCCCTGTGGTGCTAATGGCTTCATCATTGGAAGGCCAGCCACGTCAGTGCTTTAAATCACTTAAAAACCTTGAGGGATCTCAACGTGTCAGCCGTATCGTTTAGCCTGGTTTCACTGGTTGATGGGTAGGCACAATTTAGATGCATAAAAAGATCTTTAAAAATATATACACATTCATCAGAGCACATAAACATTATTGACTGTGGTGCTCAAAGATTTAATGTGTCCAGCTTTACAAAAGTGGTTCTTTTTTCCCCCCTCTTTTCGCATTCTTCATTCCTGCTTTCTTCACATCTCTCTCAGGCTGGCTCGAGATGCCCCAGACAGATGCACCAGTCACTTTGATGCAGTGGCCCAGATACGAGGGGAGGCCTTCTTTTTCAAAGGTACCGAGTTACAAAGGGAGAAAGACACAGAGCTGCTTGGGAAAAATAAAAATTAGCTAAATGAGCTGAAATAGAAGAAACTAAAAAAGGAGCGAAAAGGAGAGAGGACGAGAGAGTGTGGTAGATGCAGACGGCCAACTGAGCCAGTTGAGCCCTGCCGAGAGACTGCAGTCCAAAGATTACATCAGTCTTTCATGCTTGCCCTCTGGAGGAATGACCCCAAGCCTCCCACTGACAACAGAAACAAGAAACACACTCGCACGCCTTCAGCACCAGTGTGCAGAACTTTAACTGACAGTTATTGACCTTTTTTTTTTACTTTTTCATTTGTTTTTTCATGAGATGACATTAAAAGTTTGTTGATTCATCATTACAATCATTTTGCCTTTTTAAATGTTATTTTTTCAGACGTCTGAATTGATCACGGTATAGATTTTATTTGCAGTTCTGCAAATTCTGCCTGTTATATTTTGGTTATTGTCTGAAGCGCAGTATTATGTTTTTTGAAAGAAGAGTTCCCTCTTTTTCAGTTTGCCTTGGAGCTCTTCTGAATTGTCAACACATGGGTAAACTGCAGAGGAAAGGAAACGACTAATGCATATTGATTAATATTGATGATAAATGAACTCATTTCTTCAGACAAATAATAAGGGCCACCACAGCCATTATTATTTGTCAGCGTCCTAAACTGTTTTGTTCCTCGTAGGAAAGTACTTCTGGCGACTGACAAGAGAGAAGCACCTGGTGTCTCTGCGTCCCGCTCAGATCCACCGATTCTGGAGGGGCCTCCCAACCAATCTGGACAGTGTGGATGCTGTATATGAGAGGCCTGGGGACCACAAAATAGTCTTCTTCAAAGGTACAGTACCAAAAACAAGATCAGATCTTGGAATGAGTCTTCAAATGTACTAAAAGTTCTGTAGGTCAATAGTGTCAGTGATCTTTTGGGTCTCATCCTTTCAAATGTATCATCTCAAGTGCATTCACTGTCTGCTGTGTGTGATGTATTAAACTATAGATTGTTAGGTTGATTTTCTGCCCCCCCTTTCAGGTCTAAAGTACTGGGTATTTAAAGACAATAACGTGGAGGAGGGTTACCCTCGTCCAATCAGTGACTTCGGCCTGCCCTTGGAAGCAGTGGATGCAGCCTTTGTTTGGTTACACAACGAGAAAACCTACTTCTTCAAGGACAACCATTACTGGCGCTACGACGACCACCTGAGACGTATGGACCAGGGCTACCCTAAAGACAGCACGCTCTGGAAGGGGCTGCCGCCACAACTAGATGACGTCATGAGGTGGTCTGATGGTGAGTAACCTTAAAGACGCTTTCTTCTTACGTCAGTTACAAAGACTCAAAAAAAACACACACACAGATGACAATTTATCATCATCCAGTTATGCTTGGTTTCAAAAATAAGATGATTTTCTATCTGCTTTGTTTTTATTTCGTCAAGAACCTTCCTTTAGTTCCTCCAACTGAAGGTCCAGGTACTCCCTGGCATTTTAGAAGATTTAGTCCCTCAAGAGTGGCCTGGTTCTGCCTCCTCATAACAGGTCATGCACAGGACTTAACTAAAGAAAGCCAGTCGTTGACTTACGGTATATGTCCTTTGTGCACTTCAACCTGTCACATAGAGTAAAACCAGTCACTCAGCAAAGAAATGTAATTTGACCCCTTGTCCACAAGATCCATGATCTCATTATTTGCCACGAACCAAAGTTTAAGACTAATGGTGTGAATTGAGGTAAGCTTTGCTCTGGGGCTTAAGGCGACAGTATGCTTCAAGTGAAGTGCTTGTCACATTGTCTAACGGTGTCTGAACCGCCCCATTACGGCTATCCTTTAGACATGGTTGGATGACACGTTGCGTTACCTAAAGTGTGATCAATATCTCAACCTCTTTTACCTCTACGTATGAAGTACAATCTACTGTGCTCTCTCCTGTGTTGAAAGTAAAGTAAGTAAACGAAAATTAGATTCATAAGAACACCTTTCTTGAGCAAATGTCACAAAGTGCTTTACAATCAAATACAATTCAGACATATAACTATGATATTGTATCGTAACATAGTAGAATACCACAAAAGCAGAAGTCATTCATGATCAAAACCGTATCCCCGAAAGCAATCTATCACACAGTCAAAAGGTATGTCAAATGAAGCCAGTGACATATTTTGACCTCTTCTGTCTTTATTAAAAATTGGTTATATAGGTATACTGATTGATTACATTTAACATATAAATGATGAATCACCAACTGTCTGTTTCTTCCAGCTATAACTGATTACATTTTTTCAGAGAGCAATAGAGTTGTTACACTCCACCAGAGTGTCGGACCACTGGTAGCTCTGGTATGTGCTGGTGCCAAAGGCAAGACTGTGCAATATCCTTCTTCAGGGAAATCCTCAAAGACGAATGAATTACAAGAGATATATGAGACAAGGATCGAACAAGTTAGCAAACATGCAGCCTGAAGTCTTGGATGAAGTTTTACAATCAGATTACAATTCTGAGACAACTTTCCAGGAGCAGTAAGACGCTGAAATAGTTGGAATCACTTGAATGTGTCTTTTGAGCCATGCTAACAGTATGGATGAACGTTCATGGTCTCCTGAGGGTGAATCCTACTGACTTGGTGATCCCTTAACTTTTCATCTGGCACCACTATGAGGTGGACATGTGTGATTTTGTGTGATACACACATTCAAGACCCCACAGAGCCGCTAGCATTGCATAGCAATGGTGCCATAGTCATTAAATTGCATTACATTGATGTTTGTGTGGAATACAGGGTTCGACACCTTGTACTAATTTGAATAAAGAATAATCTTACCACATCTTAAAAGTGGTTTGAATTCATATTGAATGTATTTATTAGTTTAATTCCATCTCTCATAGGTATTGTGTGTTATGTGTTCAGACCTTGGAGCTCGCCCACTGTAATCACACTGATCGACTCCACTGCAACAGCGGAATGTCGAGGTCATAACGCCGGCTTCCATCAAAGTACCACAGTCATCGGATCACATGTGCATTATTTGTGAGAAACTTTGTGCGTCATTTAGTTTTTTTCTGTTAGGCTTGTGTGTGTGTGTATTAGGCTCTGAATGATGCAAGGGCATTTTTTTAATTAAACAAATGCCCTCAAAAAGCAGCCACAGAGTCCTTTGAGGCCAGTCTCAGTGGGAGCTCGGATGTCCCTAATCCCCCCTGCAGTATGTTTATACAAGGAAGCTCCTTCGCTGTTAGGTGTTTAGTGGTCTGTGTTCTGTCTTCGGTCTTGCTCCAAGCTCTTTGATGTGTATGGGATGAGGCCAATCGCACGACCCGACTCTTCACCCCCAACGCTTCCCCCCCGGCCATTATCACCACAGAGCCTGGAAGGGGTAAACTTGGAAACGCACAAACGCACATAGACAGACCACGGGGCGTTGAAACTGGAACCACATCAAAGCCTGCTCTCTGTTTGTTTCACCAGCTCAGGATGAATAGAGAGAAAAGACAGGGAAGAAAAGAGTGATATGACAGCAAGAAGGAGAGAGGAGATATGGTGACACCGCGTTATGAAAATAGTAATGGTGATAATAATCATAGCTGCTGGCATTGGTATGGCAAATCTGTATAGTAAGTTCAAATAAAGCCAGTCAGCATCCATCATTTAAGTAGTGTCTCATTAGTAAAGTCAAAGTTACAACCTCTGTTCCCATTATGTCAGGAAGTAATTCCTGTAATGATTTTGGAATCAAAAATTAAAATCGTGGGCTACTTTGTGTTGATGAGCTACGTGTTACACACAACACACTAGTCCCAGTTGGAAACTAATAATACAATATCAACAATATGAAAACAAGTTATTAAATAACATACTATTTCAAATTATTATATTAAAATAAATTATAGTAAAGCTACTCGTCCTTTGTTAGAAGTGAAACTGTATTTGTGACTCATTTTAGTGGTTTGGTGTGTGATCTTGTCATGCGATGTGTTGACAAGAAAATTATACAATACCACGTGCCTTATTCTTTATTTCTGATGTTTCAGTAATGAATGAATAGAGCTGTCCTTTTTGTACAATTATGAAAATTACTAAGAAGTCCAAAGCAAAAGGATGAGCCCCCCTGTTTGTTGATTTATCTTCAGTCAAAGAATCTGAAGTAAAACCGTATTCTTAAGCTGATTCAGGTGTTATTCGCCAGTGGTGGGTGAGATTTAAAATGTGATTCACCACTTTGTACAGCTAGGACTTTTAGTCTTCGGGGAAGAGAAAAAAGAGTTTTGGCAAAATGGCATTCAGCCCTATGGGATTGGACTTCCAATAAATAGTGATAGATGGATAAGGAGAGTGACTTTGTAGGTGTGATTACTCTTGTGCTCATGCCTTTGTGAGGATAAAGATCAGCTCTGGACTTAGTGGATGAGGACATTTTTGGAAAGTGAGGATATAATAAATCCTCATTGCAAAGGACCTCAGAGCTATTTTGGGACTTGTTTTATGGTTAAGGTAGGACTGAGAGAAATGAGTCCTCAGAAGGTTAGAGGAATGATGAGTTTGTCCGTGCAATGTAGAGCATACTTTATTTTTATTCCAACAGGCCGCAGCCTATAGGTTGAATATACAGTATCTCATGATTATGCACAGTGAATGGACTCTACTGGGTTCTGTGAGCCATCGCCCACTTAAATGGGTGAAGACCCTTTATAGAGAAGGGTCTAAACCAACACAACCACTGTTTACCTTACTTTGAACATTTTAGGTATTTTTATTATTTCTCATAGCCATTATAAACAACAAAAAGACAACATTGCCATCACAAGAAATTAAGGTTTCCTTTATTTTTTTGTCAGGGCTCAGCTCCTGGTTTTCTTAAACATGAAGGCCAGAGTAGATGTAACTCATTGTGTCCTCAGAGGCAGAATTACCCAGAAGAAACATTGCTGCAAGATCAAATGTGCGTTATTCATTTTATTTAACACTAAAGTTGTGCTCTAACGTAATGCTTGCAAATATTCTTTGGTAAATATTCCGGGGTGCAGGAAACATTCAAAAGTAAACTAAATGTTTGAATCATTTCTGTCTTTTATTCCTATTTACTCTCATCTCACTCCATGAATGAAAGGCTCATACCATGTGTGATATTACAGACTCACTTATTTTACATAGCATTTAAACCCAAAGAACATTTACTCCAGAGTTAGTGGTGAACTCCCAAGGCCATTAACGACAAGGGAACATTCTTCACTTCCCTCAAGCTCCTTCGCTTGTTTATCTCAGGCCTCGTAGTCATTTCAATCACCAGTTGAAAAATTGGATAAGCCATGATACTATCACCTGTTTACTTCTCTCCTCTTGTTTGTCTTTGTCAACAGCCTCGTGGGAGGTGGTGCCCTTCCTGATAACAAATTGTTTCTTAGAGTTCAGGCAACTGAATTTGTTGGTGAACCAAATTCAAAACAATCCATACATTAAGGTTTTCATACTCAATTATATTTGACATGGTACTATAGCAAAAGGAGCGTGTGGCAAAAAATTTTGCAATCTTTTTTATGAACCTATTTTTCATAATGTCACACGACACATTTTGGAGGCTTTGTTTCTATAAAGTAGTATATATATAAGAACCACACAGCGTTTAGTTTTTATTTTTGTTCTGCCAATGCCCATTCGGTATTTTGGAAACAATAATTAAGTCAAGTACACCGAAGTGAAAGGACAGGCACAGTAATTGTGTGTGTCAGTAACGATCAACTTGCAATTATGGTGTCAAAAATGCCCACCCAGGGTTGCTGTTTTCTGCGCTGCAACAAAGACCCCACCAAAAGACATTAACCCTTTTATGTATGTACTTCCAACCAGTTGTAATTATTCTGTCTTTAAATAGGACATATGTGTAAATGCACAATAAACGTATCATAATGCAATAAAAAGGCAGAATCCGCTATGGTTCTTCTGATAACCAATTCCACTAAACGGCAAAACAAAATACACCTGTGTGTTTATGCATGCTCTTGCTGGTGTTCATATATCCAGTTTCTTTTAACGTGGTTGCTCGAGCTTGCAGCTATCTCACCAGCAAACTTTTTGCTTACAGCATTCAAGTATATATACAGGAAGCATCTGCCACCTTCATTCAATTTGGTTCACTCCCTAGTTGGATCACCACCATTCCACAATACCTAACTGCAACCAAATAATAAAAGCTTGTGACAACACATGGTGAGTGGTAACAATGATGTGTGCCATCTTAGCCATTGTTTTCATATGGAGATAATAGAGCCTACGGTACCATCTGCTCAGCAAGCACAGTGACTGCTCGTCAGGTTGTTTGTTATTCAATACCCTAAGAGCTCCATTTTATTTTCTTTATTTTATTTTATGTAAGAATGAATAGCATGTCTTTTTGTAGGGTGATTTTGTTTTTCATCTTTTATAATCTCATCGTGTTTGAAATTAGTCCCACTCTGTCTTGAACAGGTGTACCATGTGGTGTGTTAGTAACAGTGTGGAAGTGTTGAGCAGACACACTATGCCTTTGAAGTTTTATGCTGTTGGGACTTCACCATGTGGCTGAAACAAAGGCCTACCTGGCCTTTCAAAAGCTTAAAGTGGGTTTAACCGCACCCACCCCCATCAGGCGTCAAAAGCTCACCTATGTGTGAGATTTGGGTCAAACCAAGCACTGGTACCTCATTGGATGAGGCCACAGGAAGTCCCCGTGACACGGCCATGACATCACTAAGGCTATATAAATCACTGCTCACCTTGACTCTGTGCCGTCCATGTGACTGAGGTTGTTGAAAGGAGCTATACCAACGTTGATGCTTTAAAAAAAACCTAGGTGGTAGTCTTAACTTCCCTGGACGAACAATAGACTTCTTTTTTTGTTGATCGCGAAGGAGAAAACTGATAACTTTCCCCGTGATCCGCCACTTTAACCTGCAGAAGAAAGATTTACGTAATCCCCGTATTTTTCAGAGGAAGAGAAGGATAACTTCTAGGCCCCCGCTCTCTTATATTCAAGTCGACATTTGCCGGTTGTAGAAGGGAGAAATTCCCTTAACTTCCGATGAGCAGATCCCTGCTGTCGTACGGAGGATTTGTTTGCGGCGTAACTCGCTGTAGAGTTACAGTTACTTTACTGCTGCAGTGAGGGTTTGCCTTGTATTGAATGCCTCCTACTCCTTTTTCTTCTTCTCTTTCTTTCCAAACTAACCCACACACGTACACTCACACACAAATATACGCTGTTACGCTTACTTCATACACACGTGTCTTATTCCCCGTTTGATAATCTATAATTAATTATCTGAATACGTCCGCCTTCCTGCTTCCCCCCTTTTTTCCCCTCTCTCCTCCTCCATTGTTAAGTCTCACGTGAAGTAATCGAGTTTTGCGCACCCATCTTTCTCCCTCTCTCTCTCCTTTGTCTCCCTCCCCTTTTTCTCACATACACACACACTCCTCACCACGTGATTGTTTGTTGCTTTCAGGGTAGTATGCTTGTAGTTGTATAATCGATGTTTGTTGATTTATATTATTGGTTTTAATCAGTAATGTTAAGTAAATAAACAGTTGTATTTTAAGGAGTAGTTTCTGTGATAATAGCTGAATGCAATAGCCTGTGCTCGACTTCAAACAAACCTTCACTGTTCACTCTGAATGTGGAATAGAACTTTGACTATTGTCATTTTTGAGTGAACACCAATTTTGAGACTATCTACAGTTTGGTTATTAGTCCCTGATCCCAGGGTGGTGCCCCATTATTGTTAATATGTTAATTATACTATTGATATTAGTAGTTTTGTTGATATCAATGATTTAGTGTTCATACTTGTTAATAACCAAACACGCTCCTGCCGGATCCCAACAAAGTGTTCTCCACTTGAGGTGTTTATCCGACTAATTTCTTTACCCTGTGTGAATACTAAAGCACATAGTCTTGTATTCTGTTCTCAAACCAACCCTCTGCTCTCTCTCTCTCTCTCTCTCTCTCTCTCTCTCTCTCTCTCTCTCTC